CTGATTGACAACCATGTCCTGGAACCTTCTAGCTGGTTCTCTACTATTCCATGGATATTCTGGCATACATCTAATCTATATCTAATTGCTATCTGATAAGATAAGATAAGTGTGCACTTATTCTGGAATATATTTGAAAAACTGTGATACACTGCAAGACATGAAGGATCCAGGAGTGGCTGACAAAGTCGATCATTTTCAGGCTATTGATGCAAAAATTGACTTACTCCTTGCTGTGCGACAATCTATAGGAGCAGAACTCATTCGTGCGGAAGAAATGAGCCAATGTTGAACACACCTTAGGGCTGCCAATTTAGAGGAATGACTTGAACACCACAAGTTCTCCATTATCACTCCTCCTTCTGGTGCCATGCCTCGTCACCTTCATTTCTGTACCAAATGTAAGGTTGACAGTCACCTTTGAAGTGAGTGTTGGCATTGGTTATGTTCCTATTGCGGACTCCTACACCCTCGTCATAAATTCTGCACTACTGTCAATGTTCAACCCGGACAACTCTCTTGTCCCACTGACAAACCTGGGTACCTACAAGAACGACGTGCTCAATGGAAACTCTGAACGACAAATCTGGAGAGGGGGGTAATGTTACAGTGTAAGGGGGGGGGTTCTTTTCTTTTTTCCTACTATTTGTCATTGACCCTGTAACTGTACAACTGATCCCATCATTAATGTGTTTCATCTATATCAGTGTTTCATATTTATTGCATTTCACCTATATCATGTTTTACCTACATCATGTATCATCTCTATTATTCATTTCACCTTCATCACTGATACAATCCAGTGGAATCTGTTTCATATACATCACTGATCCAACTCAGTGTTTCATACTTATTAAATTCTATTACCCTGTCCTATTTAAGTAGCACTGCTTGCACTACTGTACTTTAGTTTTGTCCTCTCTTGTCCTACTGTACCTTCATAGGGACAACTTCAGTAATAGACTCAGTTGTCTATTCCAGTTAAGTCTGAAGTGTTGCTTCAACCAGTATACATTCTCAAACTGCTATCAGCTATAGTGGCTCAGTCTATAAGTCTAGTCTCAGTCTCAGTAGGACATTAGCATGTATAAGTCCCAGTATCAGTTGAACTCCTGATCCTCAGTCATTAGGTCCCTTCACAACAACTAAATGAGATTCCAGAACATCCATGAGAAACAATCTCAATAGACTTGATCAAAGACCTGCCAGAATTGGAGGACTATGATTCAATATGTGTGATAGTTGATTGATTTACAAAGAGAGCACACTTCCTACTGATTACAAAAGAATTCTCAAGAAAGGATCTTGCATTGTTAATGTACTAACAGATTTGGATATTACACAGGCTTCTAGAGAAGATCATTTTGGATCAAGGAACACAATTCTCTTCAAAGCTATTCCAAGAGTGGTGCAAACTACTAGGAATCAAATTGACAATGTCAATGACATATCATCCACAGACAGATGGTCAGACTGAATGGGACAATCAAAGCTTAGAGACATACCCTTGAATCTACTGCAGTAGTAGATTGCATGATTGGGCAAGTTATCTGCCAGCAGCAGAGTTTGCCTATAACATTCAGGTACATAAAAGTATGAAAGCTTCACTGTTTATGACAGAGTTAGGATTTTACCTCAGAATGTTATCCCAGGAGTTGCAGGCTGCAAGACACTCTGAACTAATGTAAAGTCAAGACATGAAGCACAGGAGCAAGTGAAAGAAGCATGAGTATTGGTAGCAGAGAGAATGAAATGGTACTATAACAAAAATGTTGCCAAGGTTACATTAAAAGTTGGCAATAAGTATCTGTTAGATGCTTCAGATCTGAAACTACAAACATATAATTGCAAGCTCTTGCTAAGATGCTACAGACCATTTGAGATAGTGTTAAGGGACCTAATGACTGAGGATCAGGAGTTCAACTTATGATTGTTACTTGATACTTATACATGTAAGGCTGATGCGCTACACTTGGACTAGACTTGTAAACTGAGCCACTATAACTGATAGTGGTTTGAGAACATACACTGGTTGAAGAAAAGCTTCAGACTGAGACTGGATAGACAACTATGTCTATTACTGAAGATGTCCCTATGAAGTTACATAGGGAACAAGAGGTCAAAACTGAAGTACAGTAGCGCAAGTAGTGCACTTTAAACAGAGTAAGGTAGATAGAGTTTAATAAGTATGAAACACTCTGAGTTGAATCAGTGATAAGTATGAAACAGTTTCACTGGGTGGTATCAGTGATAAGGATGAAACATGATATAGGTCAAACGAAATATAATTGAAACACAATATAAGTGAAATGTGATATAGATGAAATGTGATAAAGGTGAAACACAATATATATATAAAACAATGATGCTGTTAAGGGACCTAACGACTGGGGATCAGGAGTTCAACTGAGAACTGGGACTGACACTGTTGTGCATAAGGCTGACGTGCTGTACTTGAAACTAGAATGAGTAGACTGAGCCGCTATAGCTGATAGCGGTTTGAGAGCGCAAACTGAGTGAAGCTAGAGCGCAGACTAGGACTGGAATAGACAGCTGGGTCTATTACTGAGGATGTCCCTATAAGGGTACGTAGGGAACAAGAGGACAAAACTAAAGTACAGTAGCGTAAGCAGTGCTACTTAAATAGAGTTATGCAAATAGAGTTTAATAAGTATGAAACACTGAGTTGGATCAGTGATGTACAGAACAGTTTTCACTGGGTTGTATCAGTGATGAAGATGAAACGTGATAGAGATAAAACATGATGTAGCTGAAATATGATATAGGTGAAACATGATAGATATGAAACGTTGATGTAGGTGAAACACATCAGGTGATGGGATCAGTTGTATAGTACAGGGTCAATGACAAATAGTTAGGCAAAGAAAAAAACCCCTCCACGAAGCTGTAACAGATGCAGGTGAAATGCACCAAGTGATGTAAACAGTTGTGGTAGTACAGGGTCAATGACAAATAGTAAGGAAGAAAAGAGAACCCCCCCTTGAGACTGTAACAGATAGTAGAACAATTGGGGCCAGTTACATTTAAACTTAAACTTCTAAAGTCTTACAGAGTACATCTGGTGTTCTACTTGTCCTATCTACATGTCTTCAAGAAAGATGAAATTCCTGGACAAAAGCAGAAACCTCCACCTCTAGTTGTAGTCAGAGGTCAAACAGAGTATGAAGTTGAGAAGGTAGTTGATACAGGACTCAATAATAATAACAAAATTATATATCTAGAAAGGATACACAGAGGATGCTGACACTTGGGAACCCCCCAAGGTACTCAAGAAGGTTCAGAAACTGGTCAATGGATTTCATAAGAAACACCCAAAAGCTTCTCAGCTTTTATCAAATGTTGATGATTGGTTGGACAATATATTGTTCCAACACAAAAAAATCAACATATACAATACAGATAGTGATGATTAGGGATATAGGTATCTCCAAACTGAACCACTGATCTTTGAAAAGACCAAGGCCTTTGTGTTTCTACCCAAGCAAGGCTCAGAACAAGCAGCAGGATTTGATCTGGTAGCTGTTACAGCTTTAGGGGGGAGTTCTTTCTTTCTCCTTACTATTTGTCATTGACCCTGTACTTTACAACTGATCCCATCACTTGGTGTATTTCACCTGCATCATTGTTTCATATCTATCATGTTTCACCTATATCATGTTTCACCTACATTGCATTTCACTTATATCATGTTTCATCCCCATCACTGATACAACCCAGTGAAACCATTTCACATACATCACTAATCTAACTCAGTGTTTCATACTTATTAAACTCTATTTGCTTTGCCCTATTTAAG